GTTTCAAGAGTCTTTTCTGAAATTTCTTAAATTGCAGCTCACCTGCAAGGAATTCTTCTTTGCATGTATTTCAGTTTCAGGTCAAAATATGATTACTTATTTTCATTTAATTTTCCATGTCCTTTTCATATTTTTCAAGGGCTTAGTGTCACTTGAAATCATGTCCCTCAAATTTATTTTCTTTTGTCTTCTCATGAGGCTACAATTTCAGCTGAGGGGTGGGGGGAAGGGGGCACTAAAGAGTGGCCTTTAAGGTGTTTAAACCTGAACCTGGAAAGAGAAAATCTATTTATTTTGCGATCCAATTTAAAGGAGCATCTTTCTTAGATTGTAGCATATCTACCTCAAGTTGTCACCAAGAACATATTGAGACAAGAGGGCTCCTGATTGAGACATATATTTTTTTTCAAATCAGGCTTTAAAAAAAAGATGTCAGAACCTCAAGACATACACCATGCACTGCAAACTTCATTACCTTTCCAAGGCTTTTGGCCCAAAAATATCACCTGATCTTGAGACCAAATGGCAAAACGTTATTTCTCGTTGGAGACTTTTGAGACCCCTAAAAACCATATCACGGACTTGAAAGAGGTATATTGTTGTTTGATTTGCTTATTGAGCGCTTTATTGTCGCTTTATCGTCTGTTTTGCTTTAGGAATTAAGCCACACTAATAGAAAAATTTCATCAATCAGGTCAATCATTGAAATATAAACAATGATCGTAAGACTTACCCGTGGAGGTCAAACTTTTCCGAATCTGGTTTGCAATATCATCGTTGACTTTACTGCTGCGCGCGAATTCCTCTACGTTTTTCTTCGGATTATTGAGCATCGCAGTGAGATTTCTGTTTTCGATCAAGTCCAAAATCGAAAAGGCATGTTGATTACTGATTCAGCATGCCTGCGTCAGAAACAACGAGATCAAAGTTTATCGACCCCGTCGTCAGATCGAATGCTGTAAAACGGAATGCCCTGCTGCCCATTAGATCTTTTATTCACTATCATCTCAACCATCCATCAAGGGTACGTAAACATTCGATCAAATCTGACACGACCAAATTTTTCTCTCTTTGGCAGAAGCTGGCCATACAGTTCTTTCAGCTTTTCTGAGGTCTTCGATGGGCGGTAGAACTGGTATTACCTACTTGTAGTATTAAGGATGTCTTTACATTCTAAGTACCTGTCGTCACTTTCACTTTCCACCTCGGAGTCGTCTTCATCCTCGTTCCAGTCTCTTTCTTTGGGTAAAAAGTAGCCTCGAAAGCTCGCCATGATATTGACGATTACAAATTTACCGCGGAAATTTTTGAATCAGATCTCTAAATCACAAGTAACATGATGTGGTTAAACAGCGCACACTTACATGAAAAATGATCGTTTTTTCCCGCGCTCCCGTTTGATAACTAGTAAGGTCACGCGGTCTGTCTTAGTCACGGCTATTTTTAGAGCTGTCATGCAAGAACACTCATGAACAAAGTGACAAGAAGTTTCCAATTTGGCCAAGTTTCAAGACAATAAAAACTCTACGCGAGGCATTTTTTCCTAAACTCCAATCTGGCTTTGTCTCGATTTAAATCGATATAAGTTGTGTCAATAAAGAAAAAAAATAACATACCGCTGTCCATTTATACTCTCCTTTTTTCTTTTTGTGATTGGAAGAGTATACTTACATGTAACCTCTTATAAAAGCGCTCCCATTGGTTGATAGGTGTTTTCAGTTGTGTGGTTGTATCCATGGTTGTGGCGTCACATTTTGTGTTTTCCGGAAATATTTTACACAAGATCGCCAGGAAAGTTGTGGACTGATGCAGGCAAATCTCGCACGGTAAGCAACCCTCCGCATAATTAGAAAACAGTCAGTAGACTAGTAATAAACTTTGCCGGTTAAATTGATATCTAGAGGGTGTGTGAAATGGTGGACAGAGCACTGCTCTGGAAAATCCTGAGATCATTATTATGGCATCTCGTAGATAATGATCATTAGATCATCCAGGGTCATTATGAAGATACCATGCACAGAGTCAGTTGCAGTGTTGACTTGTCTGCACCTTGCACTGTCAGCACAAGGGTGTGGTAGGGTTAACACTATTTAAAAAAACATCAATTTATCTCTTTTATCATTTAACAGATGTCTAACTCACTGGTAATTTAATGACAATATGATGGTGAAGTAAAAGTAACGTACAATAAACGGTTCGAAATATCTCAGTGTAGCTCGATAATTACCAAATGATTATTAAACATACCAACGTTATGCAAATCTTTGTGCCTTAAAATGATTTTTCCATGGTACAGCAATCACACTTTCAGCCGTTTTTTGCAATATTGCAACTTCCGTGTTACGCTTGCGGCGACTGAAAGAAAATTCAAGCGAGGCGTCGCTTTAGGCGTATGGCAACCGAGGTGTTTGGGACTTTTTTTCGGGTCGCAATCACGAGAAGCAAAGTGACGGTTAACAGAGATTTGTTGTCGATGAAAACCAGAATACTAAAACTACCAAGATATTAAGACGAACAAGAAGCTAAAACAGGCAAAAGGCTAAAAACGACCTAAACTGAAGTAATAATACAACTAATTCCTATTAATCGAGGCGAACACTCCCCATATATAAGATAAAAGCATGAAAAAACAAATCTAACCATTCGCCTTCTTTTCTTAGTTTGATCTTATTTAATTTCTTTCTTTTCTGTGTAATGATCTTGTCCTCTCTTTATGTATTAATTTTCTAGCAGGTATGCGTATGTTTATGTTTTTTTTTGTCAAGGGAAACTTACTACTGAAAATATGGCGTTATTCCTCATCCTCTGCTGCTTGTTTACAAAATAGCTTTCTCATTAAATTTTTTACACCCATCTTTATCTCCTTCATCCTCCAGCAATAAAGCAAAGGATTTAAAAGCGAGGAAGAATAAACGATAACCGTAGTTAAACTGGAGCATGTTAGGAATGTGTCTCCGAATTCTTGCAAAACGTAAAAAGTTAACGTGTAAACTAGATAGGGGACGTAACTGATCACAAAAAGTGAAAATATATATAGAACGGTGAATATAGATTTTCTGTATTTTGAAATATCAATGGAATTTTGATTTGCTTGAACTCCTTTTTGATGGTGACGAATTATTCTAAACACCTTGTAATAAGAAACTGCTATGACCAGAATACAAATCGCCGCTGCTGTCAAAAAAACTCCATTCAGCAAATTGTCTATGTCCTTCGATAGATATTGATAACTGAAAACGCGGACAGTTACAAAGGCAGTTATCAAGCACACCATTATGATGTAAAGAATGGTAACTCGGCGCACTGTAAGAAGAGACCTCCGGCTCATACACAGCCATCTTTCTGCAGCAGCCATCGTTATGACAATGACCGTCACGGCGGCGAAAACATGACCAACACAAAATGAAATCAGACTAAAAGTGCATCTCAGACTGCTTTCCCTTAACAGTGCTAACATGAACGCAGCAAGAACTGGCAAACTTATTAGTCCTGTGCAAAAGTCCGTGAAGGCCAATCCAGCAAGAAGCACATGGGATGGAGTCCTTAGCGGCGGGTTTCTCCAAATTGCTGCCAAAACGAAAGCATTCCCAGTCACTGTCATGGGGGCAAGAAGACACGCAAAAACACTGGTTGCCATAGTTGCCCAATAGTTCAATGAGATGCTCACATTTCTATAGGTAAAAGCAGAGCAAAATCTATCTAATGCGTCAGATGAATTGGACAGCATTTCTGTTTGCAAACTCGGTAGATTTGAAGCTCCCTGAGTGAAGGATGATTAGTAATACAAGCGTTTGGTTTTCCGAGTAAACTTTTTCATTAGAGCAACATTACCCTTTTGGAGTTTAATGAGTGTCCCAGCTCACGCGTCGTCTCTCGCAGTTTGATGAATCTTGTTTCGATTACACCCAATGAGAAAAAAGCCACTGGAAGTATTCAGTTTTTAATCTACGTATCATGATGTCTTCTTCGTTCAATTAACACAAGGAACAGTTACATGCAATGTAAAAAAAAATCTCCAATTTGGCAATCTTTCAAGATTTTACTGATGCCCGACCGATGCCTTCTTCTCCTAAACTCCAAAGTCGCTTTGTCTCGATCGAAATCAATCAATTTCGTTTATCAAAAACATTCAACAGCCGAGTAGCTTGTTTTGTTGTTCGAAGCTGGATACAATTACCCTACCCACCGTCCAGGAATCTCCAATTTATGACTTTGGAGGATCATCTCAAAGGGGCGAAATGTTTTCTTTTACGTTCTATTCTTTATTATTTTTATTTTTTAACAAAGAATCGGCAATAACATATTTTAAAATTGTTTCAGACAAAAAGGTAGACAAGTTCGTTTGTATCGATTTAGTAGCTTGTTAATGTACCCGAAAGAAACATATATATATAATCACATGTGAAATAATTGGACGGGGTGAAAACAACACATGTAATTGATTTTGAAGATAACTAAAAGGTTTTCCATGCCAGTCATCAGTTTTGAAACAACATGAAAAATAAACACGACAAAACCTCACAAGGTTTGGTGACTCAATTCGTAACTACCATTTAGACAAATTTTCATCAGAATCTGATAAATCTAAATAGACATTACCTTTTTAATTTATTGTGATTTGATTTCTTTACAGGAACAAAGAACCAATTAAAGTAGGCTGCTTAATTGCTCAGTTGGTAGTGGCACCCATCAACTATCTGGGAGGCGTGGGTTTAAATCCCATCAAAGCCTTAACTGTTTCAAGAGTCTTTACTGAAATTTCTTAAATTGCAGCTTACCTGCAAGGAATTTTTTTTTATGCATTTCATCTTCAGGTCAAAATATGATTACTTATTTTCATTTAATTTTTCGTGTCCTTTTTCATATTTTTCAAGGGCTTAGTGTCACTTGAAATCATGTCCCTTAAATTGATTTTCTTTTGTCCTCTCATGAGGCTACAATTTCAGCTGAGGGGTGGG